TAACTGAAGATGGAATACAATTTCAGGCTTCTTGACCCTATAAATCAGCTCAGAATGGCAGAGCAGAACACAAACATCGTCAAGCTTGGTCTATCCATGCCAGCACAGGCTAAAATGTCCTTACCATATTTGTGGAAAGCTTTTCACACATCTCATCTTATCAATCATCTTCCTACGCCTATTCTTACAGGCTCATTACCATTTCAAAAGCTCTACAGTAAAGATCCATCCTACCATAATCTCAAGGTTTTTGGGTGCGCTTGCTATCCATGCCTTAAACCATATAAAAAGCACGAGCTTGAGTTTCATACCACTAGGTGTGCTTTTCTCGAATACAGTGGAATTCACAAGGGCTTCAAATGTCTTTCTACCATTGGGAGGATCTTCTTCTGAAGGCACGTTAATTTTAATGAACGGGATTTTTCGTTTCAAGAGGGCTTTCTTCATTAAGTCTAGCCTACTGGAGTCCATATGTTCTACAACGTTGAGTTTCCTGCTGCTCTTATGGATTGCAGCCCAACACTCCATGGCCCAATAACATCTCTCTTCAGCCATGTAACAGTCTTGAGCCATGTGGTGGCTCTAGCCTTCTCTCGTCGTTCGGGAATCCTCACAGCCTAATAATTAAAGTCATTCGACTTCGCCAGTATCAAATATGCAAGAATCTCCTTCAACAGATGTCCCTTGTCCTGATCATGTCTCGACTTTATCACAGCCAGCTGGTCACCGTTTGTTGACTCACTCTAAGAACGGCATTTTCAAGCCAAAGCACCCCTTCATCATCATCTCTCGTGACTTAGAAGAACTCACTAGTGTTTCTGATGCACTACAACGTCCAGACTGGTATGCTGCCATGCAATCTGAGTACGACGCACTCATCAGAAATAGAACTTGGGATCTTGTTCCCCGAAGACCAAACCAAAAAGTTATTGATTGTTGATGGGTGTTCAAGAAGAAGTATCTTGCAGATGGAACTCAAGCACGTCTCGTCACCAAAGGATTTCAGCAAGAGAGAGGAGTGAACTTTGGCGAGACTTTTAGTCCCATTGCAAAAATCACTACCATCAGGCTTTTTTTGTCAATTACTGTGTCCCTTTACTGGCCGATAAAACAACTAGATATCAACAACGCGTTCTTGAATGGAGCCATCTCGAAGGATGTCTTTATTGCTCAGCACGAAGGTTTGTAGACCCTGCAAAGCCCAATCACGTGGGTAAATTGAAGGAAGCACTATACGAGCTGAAGCAGGCTCTAAGAGCATGGTTTGAAAAGCTTCGTAATGTACTCCTGTGGTGAGGTTTTTATAACACCGAAAGTGATAGCGCTTTGTTTATCTTGTGGCCGCCACAATTTGTCATCATCAGTCTTGTATATATTGACGATATTCTAGTTATACTGGAATGATGTCTTGCAGTTGCGTGAATTCACCAGGAAACTCGATAGCATGTTCTCTCTTAGGGATTTTGGAAATGCTCACTACTTCCTTGGACTCAAAATACGAGATGCAGATGGAATATAATACATCTCAGTCAAACCAAATATGACACTAATATTCTTAAGAAATTCAACATGCTCTACTCTGCACCATGTAAAACACCCATGGTTACTGGCAAATTACTCACTGCCACTGATGCAGAACATTTTGCTAATCCTTTCAAGTTTCATAGTGCTATTGGAAGCCCTCCAATGTCTTACAAACACAAGTCCAAATCTTTCTTACGCTATTAATCAATTTAGTCAATTCCTCGGTTGTCCAACCTTGGCTCATTGGCAGGCGGTCAAACGGCTGTTTTGTTACGTAAAAGGTACTGTCATGCCTGGTATACGTATCAAATGGTCCAAGCACCTTGATCTTGTCTCTTATAGATCGTCAATTAGTCACTGGCTACTGTGTCTATCTTGGATGATTGCTTCTCCCGTGGGCTTCTAAGTTCTAAGAAATAGTGTCTTCACTTGTTCCTCGACTGAGTTAGAGTATTGTGCCCTTGCAAACTGTGCAGCTAAAATTGCCTAGCTACAATCTCTTCTTATAGAACTCAAGTTTCCACTTCAATGAACTCCTCTCATATGGTGCAACAATGTAAGTGCAGCTTATCACTCTAGAACAAAACACATCGAAATCAATGTTCACTTTGTGAGTGATCAAGTCCTTGCCTGCAAGCTAAAGGTGTGCTGTGTTCCGTCTCGTGAGCAGACTGCTGATCTTCTTACAAAACCTTTGGGTCACTCGCAGTTCATCTATCTATGATCTATGTAACAAACTCGGGGTATGTTCAAACCCTCTCGTTTGAGGGAGGCTACAAGCAAATCAAACCACAAAGACCAAGTCACAAACGAAGGCCACAAGTAGCCGACTCTGAAGATGTCACCTGCATGACCCAAGTCACGCATCTTCTCCGTACAAAATCATATTAGTTCATATGTGAGAGGACTGTAATGTTATAATCTCATATTTTACGATTTTGTATCTTGTATATATTTGACCCCTGCTATTTCAGTATGATTAAGACAACAATAGCATCCTTCTCTCATATATTTGAATCTCCTTAAACTCTATCTCTTACTCCTCTTCACCTGCATCGTCACCTTTTGTATTTGGGGAATATGGGCCCCCACCGTTGCAAGCGGGTCTGCCATCTTCCGACATCGTAGTGCCACCTTCATCACTGTGGCTTATTAAAGGTTAAAAAGAAAAAAAATATATTATTAAAATATGTATATTTAACAAGGGTGAAATTGAAAAATTATTAAAATTTTAAATAAAGTTAGCAAGTTTTAATTTTTTTTAATTACTGTGAAATATGTTGAAAGTAACTTATAAATAAGACTAAAAGAGTATTACTTACATTTTAAAACATTTTTATTTGTATTTTTTATCAGGCGTAATATAAGTTGTAATACTTCTTCTGAATTACAATATAAGACATTTTTTAAAAACCTCATTTGATTTAAAATATAAGGCATTAGATAACTTTTATAATTTTTTTTCCCACTATACCTCTACTTTATTTATTATTCTTTTTAAAAAAGATAATACATTGAAATTTTAATTATCATCATCAAACACTTGTATAAGATATTTGATGAGGATATAATTAAAAAGATTCAATTTTTTAAAAAATATTAATATTTTAACTAACATTTTTTTTAAACCTTAAACGAGTTACTAATGCTTTATATTTTGGTATGGAAGAAGTAGGTTAATAACATGCAAAGACTAAGTAGACCCAACAAAAAACATGCAAAGACTAATGAAGATTATTAAATGCAATTAGAAATCTTAGTATTTTTTTAAAAAATATATTTTAAAAAATATTTAACACCGGCTTCTTTTAATTCGATGTTCAACTCGAACTCATGACTTGTTAGATGAAAGATAAAATAAGCAGCCACAAGTTCAAAATTATAGTCACTCTATTGATTTCTCCCCATTTATATTTATGAAGGGTATTTTGAAGCAAGGTTAATTTTTTATTTTTAGCTGCAAAGCAAGGTTAACTAATGGATCATTATTTTTGGTAAAATATCTTATTTTATAAAAAATAAAATACTTCAAACAGATCTTATAAAACATAACGGAGGAAGTAGTCTTCTTTACAAATTTTATATTATATATACATCAAATACAGAAATTATCAAATTTTCTAATCAACATATAACAGATACATAATTTTCATCAAATTTTATCTATAAATTTGACAAACAACTGTATGGATTTTTAATTAATTATACAAAAACCAGGAAGCTATTAAAAGACTATTTATTATAGCTAAATTAATTTTTTTCAGAATGATATATAAAAATCATAATATGATTCACGGCAAAATTAATTATCTGCTAGTAGTTTTTTTATTACAAAAATTGTTACGACCATGAAGCTCGACATATGATCATGAACCACGTATTTCACTTTCGTGTTCAAGGTTCGTTGTTATAACTTGGACGAAACTTCCTTTATCGTGGTTATTTTGTTTTACGTAACAATACTATTATTACTATTTGCTTTTTAATATATGATCATAAACTATGCATTCCCCCGATTGGATTCGCCAAATGAGCGTTTTATATACATTAATAAAGCACATCTGTACTCAGCGAGAACAGCCTTGTCCATGTAAAGGAATTATTTTTAAAAATTTCAGTATATAATTAGTGGTACATGCTTTTATAGTTTTATTCTTGAAGAAAACAAACAAATCATGAGTGCAGTTCGTAAATATAATAATGATAAAAAATTAACATCAAGAGTTCCCATATACTACGCAGCAATGGCTTGAATTCCAAGATGTCCTCAACATGCGAACCAAACCAGCAGATGGATCCTTCAAACGAAAAGTGTGAAATTACACCTATTTCATGGAAGACGATATGTGAAAGAATGACTGAGCGCCAACAAATAGAATTATTCTGCCAATAACCTTTATCTCAGTTTCTTCACTCTACCTAGCCCTGTTTGCAGTTAAAAGTGTCATAATTAGCACAAGTAATCTAGATTGCTAAATTGCTAAGGAAAAGTCGAGATACTTGTTCAAAAATTGACATCTATACGCAAACCAATTAACATGTCTGTCATACACAGACGATATATATGCAAATATGACCAATCAGAGCAGCTAACAAGACCAAGAGCATGCAGCCTCCTCATTATTTAGTCGACATTTTTTCCCCATTTTTTGGGCTGGATTTCCAATGGTGTTTTCGATGAGGGCAATTTAATTTGGGACGAGTGCAATCTGTTTATATAGCATTTGGGTATATAATATAGAAAATTCATAACCCAAGTTCTAATCACGACTCGTGACATATTAAACGCGAGAATCAAATATATTCAGAGGAGGAAAAGAAAAAAAGATAGAACTTAATACCTTTCACTAACATAATCAGTAAGGATGAAGAAAGAAGCAATCGCTTTCTTTTTTTTTTTTCCCTGGCAAGGAGCATCGCGATAATATTTGAACAGGTTATCAGCTCAACAATTTATGGATGAAGAGGAGGATTAACATCAGCATGGATAGTTCCAACACAAACTTTGGACCCGTGACGTGTTCAAGAATTTGCTGCCACCTGTAAGTTTAACCAGTAGATAGCTGCTGGTGAAGCCTGTTATCCATTTTCGGATTTTCATCACAATCGGATGATACTCAAGAAAAACTTTAATCATAGGTATGAGAGATGCTATTAAACAAAATCAATTAAGCTGGGGTGCAAGCCAAAATTTTCAACGATGCCAACGGAGGATGGACGGGCAAACTTTATATACCAACAGTAGTACGATACTACTCGTGACATGCCTCCGTCCAATTAGACATGCAACTGTCAAATTTTACATTGGCACAAGGCAACAAGAACGTGCACAATAACTCGAAAACTAATTTATAGAGGGAACATACCAATTTCCTTCAATCTGTGAATTGTATCCCTCCTTTATTTCCTCCTTTGCAAGTTCTTCTAGGATGGCTCGTTGTCGTTCATTAATTGTACTAGAAAAGGATGAGCACATTGGAAGTGAGATGATGCAACTAGGCTGGAAGTACGTTAAAGCTTATGCATAAATAAGACCAAAATGGGAAAATGGTGAGTACTTGAACACAAATGCCAGCTTATCTTCTCACAGGAAACACCAACTGAAGCCAAGTTTATTATGATTTATTTACCTATTCTCACACTTGAACATGACTCTACAACGTTAAACCTCTTGTAATATTCAAGTGCTAAACAACCATAAATATTAACAAGTAGAAAAATTATAATTATAACTGCCCAGAATCGTGCAGCAATGCTAAGGCCAATGATTGGACTTATAACTGCATTTGAAACAACAGAAGTGTGCAGCAATGCTAACTGGTCAATCAGTGGACTTCTTTCAAATTTTCTGCAAATACCAATAGCAGTCTGGTAACAGAAAAAATATATCACGAAGGTAATTTATTTGTCAAGATGCTATAATATTACTAAACATTGGCTAAGATTTTTGCAACAAACCCAATATTCCAGAAAGGGGCCTCAATCATATCTTCACATAATAAGCAACACATTTCTTAAGACGCTATCACTGGAAACCTACACGGGGAAGTTAACACGGAAGCGCACGAGCTGGTCTCCATGGTCCACAAGAAAACCATGCTTTGGAAGTCCTGTAAATATAACTAACGTCAATCGTAAATTTCAAGCAATGGGTGATAGAAAGATAGATACATCTACCCACAATTGTCCATGAGAGAAGGCACTGTTTTTTATACAGTTATACCTTTGCCCCTTAATATCAGAAGCTGTCCTGGTTGAACGCCCTTAGGTATCTGCAAGGAACATAGTTGCATAACAGAAAACAGGGGTCACAACTAGCAGCCAAGTGAAATTCTTTTCGTGGCAAGTTTAAAGCCATGATTTGTTCAACGTAAGTCAGGTTAGGATAATTTTCCCCCACCATGATCAACAACAACAAAAAAACAAGCCTTATCTCACTAGGTGAACAAACACAATAACAACAGCAGCAACACTTTATCCCATTAAGTGGGGTTGGCTACATGAATTGCACCACACCATTATGCTTTATCATTTATCAAACTTTTTGGGTGAATAAACACAAAGGAAGAAAATGAAACACAGTTTGAATTGAATATGGGTAATGCAATTCGACAACCACGGTCAATCTCTTAGTTTTGAATTTAGAAACTTGTTTAGCCTTGTTTCTGCAGGGTAGTTTGGGATTCCAGAAAAAAGCCCCAAAAATGTTTTACTGCAACATTATATTCTCTACATATCCAATAAAGAACCTGAACAATGCATCTGATCCATATGCGTGTATCATTAGTCTTATGGGGGCCACATTTGCCAGCATCAAAAGTTTATTTTGCTTGATAACAATTAATTTCAGAGGAAACAGGTCTTAAAATCTGAAATTTCTTTCATTGACTATTTAGTAATATGCTTAAGGGGCAAACTTGACATCCTCTTTTGGTTATTAGAGTCGATTCACACTTCTTTGTTTTTAAGTATTAAAAAACAATATACAAATTATACCAAGTTTGTAAAGAAGATTCAAAGCAAGCAAGTTATAGAATGGAGTTTTGCATGCACTAGTAGGACTATGTCGCTCTTTTATACCTTGTAATCTATGACAATTTTATTCTCCAATGGAAAGAAAGCAAAATGGCATGCTAATTTTCTGTGTCAAAACAATTTTACCGGAACAAAAGAAAATAATGGCAAAATAAATCATACTCTTACTTTTACTAGCATCTTTCCTGATAATGTAGGCACCTCAACTTCACCACCAAGAATAGCCTGTAAGAAAATAAACCTTTCTTCTATCAATAAAACTGTTGCATAGTTGGATCAACAGAAACCCAGGTCACTAAGGTGCCAAAGATGGTATGTACACCAGACCTTACTGGGAAAATTCAAGGAACGGGACATAAATCTAAAAAAGAACAGCCAACTTAACAGATAAAGTTCTATTCCTTACTTATAATCCACGTAAATCCACTCCCTCAGGCTGGAGGAAAGTAAGGGAAAAAAAGGCAGGGGAGTGGAACAAGTTTCAACAAATTATTCATACTCTATGATATGCATGTAATGTGTATGCTTTAAAGAACTTTTCCTTGTGACAATTAAATTTTGCAGCATTTCCTAGTTGTCCTCCAATATAAGGAGAAGCACATCATCAAATTAGCAAATTTAGACTACACATGAACATGAAACAGATTAATAAATCAATAATTAATATTTAGATGTAAAACTAAAAGTATAGTGCAACTTTAGGTTCATCTCATAGGCTTAGAATATCATTTTTACAGGTACTCAACAAGTGAGCCTGAAGTAAATGCAATTGACAGATCACTAAACACTACTTGATTCTCACTTGTGTAAAGCTGATGTTAGACTCCACATAAATATCTGCACCATCTCTGGCAAAAACAGGATCCTTAGCCACCTATATTGCCAAAAAAGCAAACTTCAAATAAGAACAAAAAAAAATCCTTAACAAGAAAAAATAGACTAAAACATAATTAACAATGGCTAGCAAAACTAGACGGCAGAGCCACAGAGGCTTTTTGGTTGATCTAGATGTTTGGTTTTAAATAGTAGTGTAAACTTCTAAATAACAATATAAATTTTCCATGAAATATGCTACTTTACGGAACAAGTAAAATATTGCAGCGCATGAAACTCATGCATGCTAAATATGAGGTCCTCCAGGTGAAAATTAAAGAAAATTTAATACCTTACAAGCTAGACTGATAAAATTGTAAAAAATCCACAATCATGTAATTAAAGAGAAGTGTAATAATATTTATATAATTCTGCGATCACATATTTCTGATTAAGCATCTATCAAATATCTATAGGTTTGATTGAGACTATCTCACCTTTTAAGAACTAAGAAATAGGTAAATTTACAGATTCATAAGCCAGAAAATCAGTACAGGTTAACCTGATATTTAATCTGAATTAATAAAAAAGTTTAAACAAAAATGCACAGGCATGCCTTTATTTTAATATATAGACTTCCAGGTTGACCTCCACGTCCAGCAGCATGTCCAGCTTCCGGCACATGAATTGTATCTCCTGAATCCACACCTAATAATTCATGGAAGACTATGATTAGATCAAGAAAAAAGTTAATAAAAATATATAAATAATGAATGATTCTTCATTACACACAGGTGGCAGAGAAGATCTAGGCAGGAAATTCTGCACTGAAGATACTTTGTAATTTTTAAATGATTTTGTTCCTTAACACTATAATAGGGAACCTGATGCCCGTCTCGTAATACACAAGAATGAAAACAATATAGTTCAAAATATATCAGCCCAAGAGGGAGAAGAGAGGATAAAAAGCTAGCTGGGATTGGACCACGAGATTATGGTAAAATAGAAATATGAACTATATTTATTCCTGATGTATTATATCAAAGTTACTATTGCAGCTAGCTTCGTCACAAGAATTGGAAACCAACCTGCTGGTACAGTAACTTTAACCTCCTTGATGCCTTCTACCACCCCAGATCCTCCACAAGATTTACAATGGTCCTACAAAAGGAAGATATACATGAAAAATTTTACAGGAAGAGATCAAGCGAACAAGATTATTCAATGTAAGATTATGGAAGACCTTGATGACTCGGCCTGATCCTCTACAAGTGATGCATGTTGATGTAAATGGAGGGATTGTAACCTAGTTAAAATACATTGCAATCAAGAATGGATTAATATTTTGTCTAAAAAGAAGAATGAAGGAAAATGTTAAGAACATAAAAACCAATAAAATCTCAACTAAAATCTTGATAGGATTTTCTCATAATAATAATCAATATTGTTCTTTTAAGCACTTACTCTGCCTACGCCCCTGCATGTTGGACAAACAATTGCCTTTGCATTGTGTGAATAGCCTCGCCCATCTGCATTATGAAGAAAATGCTCAACTGTCTCTGATAAAACTGTGTAAAGGGAACAAGAAATAGACTGCCCAAACTAATTATTACAAAACGAGATGTGAAATGGAGCAACAATTTACAAACTCAGTGGCGCATACTTTGCATGTTTCATTAGCTTATGCAAAAAAATCTTGCTTGCATTATTTGTTTATTGTAATCTCATGAGACTTATCTCTCCACTTAAGACCCAGCAGGGGGTTGGTATCTAAATATCAATGGAGCCACATTTTTCATACCTCCGTCTTCAAATTTTGGGTTCCTAAGATATCTTAATGCATGTTTTGCTTGACAGGATTGCTTTCCTAAAGGTTGTTAATCACTGTGCCTTATTCTACATGGCATAAAAGGATTAGGAACCTGCAAAATTTCAATGAAACAATAAGTGGATTCTTTGTCTTTAATTTTTTATCACATGCGACTCCAAGATTCTGATTTTAACTTGTTATGCAATCACTATGCATATACTGACTACATTACAACATTTCTTATGCATAAGAAAAATCTGGAAATGATTCTAGTATATACAATATTATCACAATTAACATGGCTTTCCTGACTTCATATTCCAAGCATATATAAACTGTTTTTTCCAAACATATATAAACTCTGCTTACCGCAAAAATCACAGGGAACAATGGCATCAAAAGACACACGTTTGGTGCACCCCTTAACAGCTTCTGAGAAAGAAAGTGATATCTCGACCTACCAGCAAAACAATAAGGAAGTGGACAAGTGGTTAAGCTTCAATATTTAACAAATTATTCAACATAACAGCCGAGAAACAATATTAGGGTGACCTCAATATTTGATGCAGAATGAGTTGTTGCTTCTTCAAACATCTGTCAAGAATGAGACAGATTTTTATCTAGTACATGTGTCATTAAGTAACAATGACAGCAGTAACTGCAAGACCGATAAGAGTACCTCAGAGAAGATTTTGTGAAATGAATCAGAAAAGTGAGCCCTATGAGCATTTCTGAACTGTTCTTCGGCATCCCGTTCATATTCTATGTTCCCAGAATCAGAAGTTCTCATCTTCAATTGGGATAGAATTTCATCAGAGAAAGTAATAGAAATAATCAGTTCGCTAAAACAAGATTGAAGACTATGAATTACAGAATTTTAAAAGAGCTCTGATGAACAAAAATTCCAGACTACCTAGAATCATGTTAACCATAAAATACAAGAAGGATGACAGCAACAGAGACGACAAAACAATTCAAGAGAAAAGAAAAATTACCTTGTCAAAATGTGCCCTTTTTTTAGAATCTCTCAAGGTCTGAATACCATCACATTAATCAATTAATTTTGAAATATCAACATGGAAAGAAAATGACAGTTCGATAGAACCTATAGTAAATACCTCATAAGCTTCTCTTACATCTTGAAATTTCCTCTTGGCAGATGGATTATTCTTATTTGCATCAGGATGGTACTTCTTAGCGAGCTGCAAAAGGAATAGAAGTGTATCATGATGTAATATTCGTGAAAACATCTTGAACCATGGCTGTCAAGTAGCAGAATGACAGTATTAATTTATAATGCAACTATAACCCTTCAGCAAACTGTTGTTAATATGATCTAGTTTCAGTTAACTATATAGAAAAGAAAAATATTGCAAAATAGAAATACTTAACCCTATTACATGTTGACCATATTTTTTAAACTTGGTTAAAAGTTCATTTCAAGTATTGACTAAAACTAAACAGAAACTGGTGACATCATGCAATAATGTCATATTGACTAAAACAATATTAGCAATGCTTGTAACTAAGTAGCTTCAGTTTTTTTCTTCTTTCATAACTTAATTGTTTTCGACCGCTGTTATAATATCCAATTTCAACCAGTCTTTCTGATTTTCTCTCTGCACATGCATCATGCTTATACTTCTTCATTCCTATTCAAGTCTACCAGCTGGTTTTGATCAAATGGCACTAGCACCCCACAACAGAAGGAATTCTTTCCAACAAGCACTCACCCTGTGAAATGCCTTCTTGATATCGTCCTGACTGGCAGTTTCAGGAACACCAAGAATTTGATAGTAGTCTCGTTCAATAGAAGAAAGAAATGCTGGAATAACAGCGACAGAAAGAAATGAAATGGAAGTCCAAATATTTGAGAGGTAAGTTAAGTACTGATGATGAGCAAGAATTTGGCGATTGGGGGTTAATCCAAACCTGTGGCATGAATATAACGAAAATTTAAAGGCATTATTGAAATTGCAAAGTGGTCATTTATCTTCGCAAAATTGCAGCTCATCAAAGCTGTTACAGTACCCAAAAAGAAAAAAGAAGATTAAGACAACGAAAGGAAATGACAATTAGTACTAAGAAAAACAGAAATTTGAAAACGTGCCTCGTCTGCTAGACAGCGATTGGCTAAAGGACAATAATTTACTAATGGACTTTCCTTGATCAACGGGCGCTTCCAAAGCCATAGATGCTAGAACTTGACGCCGATACTGCTTTGGACACAAAAACAAAATAATGCATAGAAAAGGAAACACAAATTTGACTGCTGACATTGTTTGAATTACGAATACTCACCGGCGTTAACCAACTGAACCTCCGCATTCACTCAACCACAAGTAGATATAGCTTTGAAGTTGAAAAAAAACAATGAAGCCCCGTGAAGTGATTGTGCAGATTGAACGATGATCGGAAAGCTCCGATTTGGTTCTTAAGCTGTAGGGGTTTTAGCGCAATCTTTACTTCTTTAGTTGCACCTGCATTCGGAATCGAGACAACTTAACGATGTCGTTTAAAATTGGGATCAGAAATTCAGAATTTCCGCGGGTGAGTGTGGTGCAAATCTCGATCGTCCATTTTCTCCTGTGTGATCCAGCGGCCGTTTTTATATTTAACGAAACGACATCGTTTTGAGGAAATCTATCTAAACTATCCGTTCCTTCATGAAGAAATCTGGACTATGGATATCAAAAGTTCATCCCCACGGTAACATCGCGCCAGCGGCCTGGGAAAAATCAGAAAACAGGGGAGACGCAAGAGCAATGTGGCGTGCTTTTGGTGGCTTCAAATGCTAATATGTAGATTCCCCTTTGAATTGATGATTTCAATATGTATGATAGCGTGTTCATTGAATTGAATTCCCAAAAAGAAGAAAGAACAACATTGGCTAAGTCCTTATCCTACTGAATTAAATATATTAAATTCTCGCCACACTCCTCTATTCATTTTTTCAATGGGCTAATTTTCTAATTACCGACGATAATTTTCCATACGTATATCGAACGACAACCTTTTCCTAAAATTCACTGCACAGCATTTAAGAACAATTTTCATGCAATCAAAATCGAAGCTGAAATTTAATTATAGAGCTGGCTGTAACAGAGTTTCAATAACCCGAACAGTGAAAAACAGGCCAAGTCGAAGGTCCAACCTCTAGTTACAAGGCAAAAGAAAATACATCAAAATTAAAATAACAAAACAACCATGTCATACAACAACTAACCAATACAGCCGGAAACATGTTGAAAATTAAAAGAAAAATATAATTTTAAGTCCATATATCCCCATATTTTTTTTTGTATTCTAATTTGCTACATTTTTATTTTTCAACAAGAAAAACATAATTTTTAATTTCTACACTTTGTTCATATTTTATTATAAATTCTCACACTTTTTTTACATTTTAGATTTCTATATTTTTATTTTTTAATATTATAAATCTCTAAATAAATAAAGAGTAAGAATTTTGAAAAGACTTAAAACACTAAAAAATAAAAATATTAAATATTAAATTAAAAATATAAAAATTTATAATAAAACACAAGGAAGTATACGAACCAAAAGTTTTGTTTTTCTTTTTAATATTATAAATCTAAAAACACTCAATATAAAATACTAAAAAAATAAAAATTTATAATAAAGTTTAAGTAAAATGCACGATTTAAAGTTATTTTTTTTTAAAATTAAATTAACATGAAAGAAAAATGAAAAGAAAGTAAGCAACCTTGAAGTAGAACGCCCACAGGATCGTCCAAGGGGAGGAAATTACAAAAACCATAACTTTACTGAGGAGGATTCGACGGGAGAGAACCGGAGAACAATAGAGTCTTCATTGAGTTCTGGATCGTCTTCCAATCTCCTTTTCCACAATTACTGAACATCTTGAGGCTTGAGTTCCACGATCCTTCCTTCTCCTTCTCGACATTTCAGGCTTAGCTTTCACCCATCCCACCTTCATGTAAGAGTAAGACTGATCAAGTGGCGCTAAGGAGGAGAACGCTGTCGAAGACTCGAAGGAAACGGTTCAGACTTTAGAGCCATGGCCGTGGAAGTGAAAGGAATAGCAAAGGATTATTTAGCGTGATCGCGTCTAAAGACAAGAAAAAATGACACTAATATTTTTTTTTTAACAATGAACGGCCAGGATTCAGTGTAAAATATGAACGGTTAAGGTTGCCAGTATAAAATGACTTCACTAAGATAAGTAACAGTATCAACCATCGGATTAACTAGGAAAAATTGGATATTGGATATTTGCATCAGGATAATAACTAGGAGACACGCGCCAGCAGACATTCCAATTACATGAAGGGCCAGTTTGTGTAAAATAAAAAGATAAGTAATTTTTGAGATTTTATAAAAAAAATAAATATTATTTTATATTTTTTGATAATAATATAGTTATTATTAGATTTTATGATATTTTTTGGATGTCTAAGTGTATAAACATATATTTTTAGTTATTTTAAATTTTTATAATATTTTCATGTATTTCAGCATTTTTATAATATTTTTTATCTATCACATTATATTATTTTCAGGAGTTATTTAAAGTAACTTCTTAAAAAATAAAAATATTTTTTTCAAATTTTGATTATTTGCAAAATTTTAAACAAACATCATAAAATTTTAGGGCTTATTTGTTCAAGATTAAAAAAAATAAATTTTAGATAATTTAAAAATTTTATAAAAATATATTTATTTTGTAGATATTTTATAAATAACAAATATTGTTTTATATTTTGCCATAATGATAAAAAAAATTGCACTTGCATTTATTCATAATGAGTTTTATGTGAGTCATCCACTTGTTACAATTATTAATAAAATTAGACAATTTGTTATAAAAAATTAAATAATTATTTTTAATCACATCTTTAAAAAAATAAATAATTATGCTAACTAGTTGACATGCAAAGCCCTTACCAATAATTTAGGCCTTTATATTTTATATTCCTTCGTGTGAATGCAGAAACTTTTTATATGCTAGTATGATTTAAATTGTCTTTTCACACCTGTGACTTTATATTTAAAATAATAATAATTAATTTATTATTTTTAAATTTTACTGTAACTTCATGAATTTCTATTTATAATAATTTATTATTTAATTACTTTAAAAATTTATATTTTTTCATTTTCACATTTTTATAATACTCTCTTTTGACTATTATTTTTAAAAATAACTTATTAAAATAATCAAAAAAATTTCAAGGTTCTAGTCATTTGTAAAAATTTAACCGAATATAATAAAATCTCCAAAAATATTTTTTCCTAAAAAATAAATGCTTTTTTAATGAAAAAAATTGAAACAAACAGCCCTTAAAAAAAAATGCATGGATTACACCGGCTTCATATTTTTGGGTGAATTTGTGCTGTACTTACCGTGAAAATGGATCGTGGAATTTCTGGGACCCACGTTTACGGACGGTCTAAACTTTCTACCCTCTTCGTGCTACCCGGGGCGATGCGAGTTTGACCCCGGACTAGCACCAAGTGGCTATGATCGAGATATGGCGGCGCGCCGCTTGTTCTTCGCCGGTCTCAGACGGTAGGTCGCACTGGTTCTCTGAGGGTCCCTAATATCGGGCGACGACGCACTAACACTTGAGGTGATTTTCATACAGCTACAACTTTCTATCCGGCCAACAAAGTCTATGGAGGCCCCTAGCTTCCCGCAGTTGTGGGTTCGATGTGAAAATAACGCAGAAAAACAACCTGAAGGAATGGATCTTGGAACGCAAGTCTTCTGATCGGAATGCAATGTCCACGCTTCGAAAATGGGTTGACCAAGGCAATAATTTGTCAGCTTCCGAGCTCAGACACATCTCCAAAACACTTTTCTCATCAAAATGCTACCAACACGCACTTGAGGTTTGATTTCCTCATACTAACTGCTTTGTTTCCATACGTACGATCCTTGTTTGGTTAATCTTCGTGCTGAAGAGAAATAAGACAGAAATACCTGTTCTGGAAACTTCACAACATTAGGTGGTGTGCCGTCACCGGCCTTGGTTTCTTTTGATGCTTCTGAGCAAGTTAGCATGATGCAATTTGCGACTAAATGCGACATAATCCATTCTATTCATTGAGAATTAATTAAAATTACTTATTTATTTTCTCCGATAGATAATGACATGGATGGAAAACCAGAAGAATTTTCGGATGTCACCAGCGGATTATGGTGCCAAATTGGAATTAATTATAAAAATTCATGGTCTGACGGAGGCTGAAAAATACTTTTTGCGCCTACCTGATATATCTGCCCAGAAGGCTGCCTATCTCCGACTTCTACGAGGGTATGTAGGAGATAGAGATACGAGTAGAGCCGAGGCTTTCATGCAGAAGCTCTATGATTTGGGGCTAGTTGTAAACCCTCTCCCTTATAATGAGATGATGAAGCTGTATGTAGCCACAAATGAGTGCAATAAAATCCCCCTTGTTATCCAGCAAATGAGACGAAACAAAATCCCTCTTGATGTTCTTTCCTACAACCTTTGGATGAATGCTTGCAGTGACGGTGAAGGACATGGGGCTGCTGCTGCCGAGATGGTTTTTGGAGAGATGAAAAACGACCAAAATGTTGAAGTGGGATGGAGCAGTCTTGCTACTCTAGCCAATGTTTACTTGAAAGCAGGGCAGTCCGAGAAAGCTATTCTGGTTCTTAAAAATGCAGAAAAGAAACTGTCAACCTGTAATCGTCTTGGTTACTCTTTCCTTATGACGCTTTATGCATCTTTGAAGGAAAAGGAGGGAGTCTTGCGGCTATGGAAAGCAAGCAAGTTAGTCGGCGGTAGAATCACACGTGTCAACTACATGTGTGTACTGTCATGCTTGGTTAAGCTTGGGGACATCAAAGAAGCTGAGCAAATCTTCATGGAATGGGAGTCTAATTGTCAGAACTATGATATCAGGGTTTCTAATGTTCTTTTGGGTGCATACATGAGGAATGGAATGCTAGAAAAAGCCGAATCACTACATCGTCATGTATTGGAGAGGGGAGGTCGTCCAAATTATAAGACGTGGGAAATTCTCGTAGAAGGATATGTCAAGAAGCAGGAAATGGACAAGGCCGTTATTACCATGAGGAGAGCTCTTGGTATGTTAAAAGACTGCAACTGGAGACCACCACACGAACTTCTGTTGGCCATTGCGGAGTATTTTGAGAAACGTGGAAATTTTGAAGATGCAAATGAGTATATTGCAGATATCCACAATGCTGGTCTTGCAAGTTTGCCACTGTACAAGCATTGTCTTCGCATGCGCCTTTTTGCTGACAAACCACCCATTCATGTCCTTCAAATGATAGAAAAGGATAAAGTTGGGACTGATAATGGAACCTTAGCCATTGTCAAAGCATTCAATGAGTAGTTGATATGATCGTTATGGCCTTATGGAGTTACTCCTCATTACTTGCTGATATACATGCAGGTTTTGCATTTTTCTTTTCTTTTTTTCTTGAGATTGATTCGTGGATTTTTTTTGGCAAATGCATGACAGATTTTTAAATTTTCAACGTGTTCAATTTGAGATAGAGGCATGGGGCAATGGGGACAGAAGTCAGATTTTTAATTTTAATATATATATATATATATATAAAGCCTGGAGACGGAAGGCTGTTACCCGTAAGTCTCTTATTAATGAAGTGTTGTTTTGAAAGTTTAAAGGAAAAATTAAAATTATAAATTGTATTTAATGAATTTTTTTAGTATGTGTAATCTTATAAAAAATAATTTATAAATCAAGACAGGGACGAGTGAGTACTTTTTTCTAGATATACGTGATTTTATTTTAATTTTAATTTTATATATAAGTCATTTTTAATTAAATTATCTAAATCAGGGCAAGTTAGTTAAAATAATAAAATAATTTTTAAAATGTAAAACATTTTTAATCGAATCTCAATCTCAATAAAGTAGTTACTTATCTTTAAACTAACTCTATTTTTTAAAATTTACTCTTATTTAATAGGGTGTTTTGTCTTAAAATAAATTTAAAATAATTTATTTAATAGGGGTATTTTTGAAAAAAAATAATTACATCTTGAAAGATTAAAATATTTTATATTTTTTAACATTCAATTCATCAAAAAATATCTTACATTTTTAAATGGAGAGAGTATATTTTTTTCCTCCTACATTTATTAAATTAGAGTAATTTGGCAATATGACCTCAATACCATAAAAAAAAATTATGAATGCAAGTTTTGTACTTCCTTATAAAAAAAAAATTGAAACTCATTCTCATATAAACTGAGTCTTGATTTCATAGCATTTGGAGAAATATCTTTTTGAAAGTATAGTATATAGATAAATAATTTTTTGTGTGTAGTAGTGAGGTCAAATTGCTGAATAATTTGATACATACTTATAATTTTCTTGAAAAATAAAAATATTGCTCTGGTATTTAGAAAGCTAAAGTATAATTTTGATCATCTAATTTTACATAAAATTTTATTTTGATCCCTTAATTTTACAAAATGTATTTTTAGTCATTTAATCATAACACCATTAGTTTTAATTTAAATAATTATTCTTTGTACAGATCATTATTAAACTTAATAAGTCAATATTCAAGAATATTTTGTCAATATTTAAAATTTTATATATATATATATATATATATAGTGATGGAACTAATAATGTTAGGATTAAAAGATTAAAAATATATTTTTTAAAATTAAGAAAATAAAATAAAATTTTATATAAAGTTAAAAAATTAAAAATATATTTTAGCTAATTTAAAATTTGTAACATGGCATTTTTCAGAGTTCGTCAAGTATTGCTAACAAACAGCTAAAAATCATTTACATAAAGAATTAAGAAGATTTTTCATAACACGACTGACAAATGTGACGGAGATGGTATGTAATTGAAAATTCCCTTTTTGTTCCGAAACATTTGTTACTTTTGAATTTTAATGAAACATTAATTATTTGGTAAATGAATAAATTATTCCTTAGATTTTATGTTTAGTAGCACTATAAATTCTAAACTTATTTATTATGCAAATTATTCCTTCAATTCTTGAAAATGGTATAATTTGACCCCTACAATTAAAAAAATTAAATTTAACAATTAGTTGACCATAAAAATACCTCAAAAATGACCAAAAAAATTGATCATTTTCTGTGATTTTTTGGGTTTTTATTTGTAAATTTTAGTCCTTTTTTGTAGGTTTTTTAAATTTTTTTCTGTAATTTGTGATGTCTTTTTCTATAATTTTAATGTTATTTGACAGTCAAAGGTAAATTTTGTTAATGGTAGAGAGCCAAAATGCGCTGCTTTTAAAAATTGAGGGAATAATTTACATAATAAATAAATTTAAGATTTATAATATTATTGAACCTATACCTTATTTGGTACAAAGCATTGACAAGGTAGGATTGAAATTGATATTAAACAATTTCACCTTTTCATATTTGACATGGGATGATGGGAAATTTAATCCCAATTCCAATCCACTTGGGATCACTTAATATCAACCATTTTTTGGTATTAAAAAAATCAATTTTGAGATTAATTTGCTTTCTAGTCAAAATGCCTTTCACCCTTCCCCCCTCTTGTCTCTCCCTCTATGCTCCACCCTCTCTCTTGTATCTCTCCCTTTGCCCTCCAACTCCATCCTTCCTCACAATCACAATGGTGATGACAATGATAATGACAGCCACATGCAAGCATAACGCTGATGCTTGAACCAGGAAGAAGAGATGATGATGCAAGGTGATGACAACAATGGTTTTAAGCGTGCATCATCGATGATCGAAAAGATAGAAGAGGAAGGTCTTATTCTGTCAATTTATATCACTAGTCTGGAGAGGGGGAAAGAGAGAGAGAGCAGATGAAAGTCTTCTGCGTTGATATGTCTGGCGTGCATCACCAATTTCATGCTTCATCTCATCAATCTCACTTTCCTTTGATCTCCATTAGATAAGACAATCAAAAACTAGAAAAGGAATATCAACAAAAATAAGAGTGGTCTTTTGTGCTACCATGCTCTCTGGAGAGATGAAAAGTGATCATTTGAGATGAGCAAAGTTACAAATTTTTCTTTTTAGGGTGTTATAGTATTTTCTTACATGTTTAATTGTAAAATAAAATAAAAATAATTATTTCTTATAAATATTATTTCATATTAAATATGATTTTAAATCTTCATTCCCACTATATTAATTTCAATTTTAATCTTTTTAAATTGAGACCTGTCTATCAGACAGGGCCCCAAGAGTTCAGAATTAATTTGATGATTTACTCTTAATTATTTTTAGATTATTTTATATTTCAACGACAACAACAATAATAGGTCGAACAAGCGTTCGTTTAGACAATAAAATAACACAAGTAAGAGAGTTTCAGTCAAATACCATTAATCTACGTAATCTGTGATCGTTTCCTAATTCACCAAGTCATTATATCGCGGGAGAATCATAGTCTTTTTTTTTTTTTAACCCCCTGATAGGATAATCCAGATCCAGATCCTATAGGTTTAACAAATAAGTACCCCGTCTTTTAACCAGAAAAAAAAAATCTGTCGGATCTAAAATGTAAGCATTATTTTAATTAATTTTCATTTAAAATATAAACATTTCAATACACACATATATATATTATTTTATTTTTTATATTTATTAATTTAAATATTTATATAAATGTATCTCTCACTCATTGTAAAATATATTGACAATTGAGATTAAAAATAAAAAATTATATTTTTATGTTCAAAAACTGTTTATATTCTGAATCAAATTAGTAAAATTTAATTGCAAATCCTCGTGCCAATTGTTACCCAGCATCTGAGATTGATTTGGATTGCGTGCCGTCCATCCAGAGCGAGCACCAAGGAATTTGCTCACGTGTTGATAACCCTTTATTGTCCATTTCTTTGTTTTCTTTTTTGGTAGAATATTGTCCCTTTCTTTTCTTCAACAAAAACAAGAATGCCAACTCCCACGTCATCCGAAAACCCAAATAACTGGTAGCTGATCTGTCCAATGCTATAAAGTATCAGTATTTTAAATTGTCTCATATCTGTATCATATCGATATACCATATTCATTATTACTTCTTTAATAAATATTCATAAAATATATAAATATTATTTTTTAATTTAAAAAATGTTAATTTTCAATCTGTATCTAATATTTTTAGATTATGAGTCAATATTTCAAGAAAATTTTTTAAGAAGTTAAATTTTTTAAAGACCATGATGTTAAAATTTTTATTATTAATATCTTTTTTTTGGGGACATTAATGGAGATGAATAAAATCATCTTGAAGGTATTAGAGGACATTAATGGAGATGAATAAGATCATCTTGAAAGTATTAGAATTTTGGGATTGACAAATTTATGTCTTGATAAACTAGTTATAAAAGTTATCTTTTTTAAAAATGATAGCAAAAAAAGAAAAAATATTAATACTATGCCTGTTAGAAAGAAATTGATATTATTATAAAAGACTATATATATATATATATATATGTTAATTTAAATATTTTTAAATTGAAATTATATTTTTAATATTTTTATAATTTTTTATTAATATACACATATCAAAAACATATTATATCATATATTTTTAAAAATAAAAATATCTATACATTAGAAACGTATCATTTTTGATGCGCGTGCCGATGCCTATACATCATACTCCAACCCCTCAATAACCGACGGCTACTGCCACTGCCACTCTGCTTCGTTGAAGTGCCCATGATCCTGCGCGCACTGTATAATTCCCCTGGACGGAAGACATTAGGTTAACCCAACCCAATAGGCCAAGGCGTAAAGTTAAATGGAGCAATAGTCTAATTTACCCCTCCGTGAAGGAAGAGAGGAAAAGCCTGACCCCAAGGGCCAAGGCCACTGCTTGTGTCCTTTTTATCCATTGATAAATGACCGTTTACAGTCTCGGGGATTTTGCCCAATCTTCGATCGCAGATATTTAGGGTTTTCTGATGCCGATTGCCCCAAATTTTTCGTGACTGCTTTCGTCCCTAATGCATTCTCGGCGTTCTGTGAGCTGGTTTGCCACTCTCGTTCTGGTTCCGGAACAGATCGACCCGATTTCGAGAATTTGAAGGACATGGGATAATTCCAAAGGTTAGTTGTTTTCTCTACGGTGTTGTCTCGGATGTCTCCCTCAGGAATGGGTCATCACCGTTCGTGTTTAGTGTAAAGTAGATTGTAAGTATATCTTTTAACATCTCTCCGTCTGTTCATAGAGGACATGCTTAGCATGGAACTGCATTGATTATAATTTGCAAAAGGAATCAGATTCTCTGATTATTGTCTGTGTATTGTGCAATTTGGCGACGGAATTGTTTTTCATACACCGGCTTGAATTAATGCCGCCATTTGGCGCTATTATGATGTAAAAGTAATTCGGGCTTTGCTTTACTTTCTCAGAGTTGTAATAAAGGCGTAGGGATTTTCATATACCTGCTTTGCTGTGCTCTTCTGGTTTGCGCTGATTCTGGGTAATCTATCAGTAGTTGTGAATTAATTAGAAGGCATTGGAC